GGATTAAACATGCACAATACATTTCAACAAATGTTGCGAAACAAACACGTCCGTTGATCAGATTTAGAAGGCTTAAAAAAAAATCGGTATACGTTCAGCGCAGTGGACATCATTATTATTTATAAAACATAAACACACAACCGTTAAAAATAATACCCCGTTTATTTCAAATTTTTACCATATATATCTTAAATATTATTTGAAAGTCTTATAAATGGCATTAGTTTTTTATAACGGTTGTAACGATATACAAAAAACAATATACATGCAGGCAGCCGCGTTGTAATAACGGTAGTAAATATATAGCATTATGCCCATAACTTATTCACATCCTTTTGTAACCCTATACTTAAATATTATACACCTATACACGTATAGTTATATTGTCATATTATTATTCTTGTTTTTTGTTTTGCTTTTAAGTCGCGTGCTTACAATTCGAAATTACATTACGCGCTTGCGTATAGGTACAATACATTATACTAAAATAGTATTATGTTTTTTATCGTTTGTCGAGCGTGTACCTACTACTATATAATGCGCCCTGCTTATAATACACATATATATGAGGTACCTATGTATGTGTATAATATCCGTGTACGTATAAGTGTACAAAAGAATTGGTGAATATTTGATTACTCATTAACCGCGTGTGTGTTATAATATTATGTAAAACACATTATTGAATTGTGAAAACCGACTTCTCTCCGATATTTCAATATTAATGTAAATATATGTGTATATATATATATATTATTATATAATATATACACACACACATGCCGGTGTATACATTGAATGGTATTGCAGTGTGGCGCCGTATTCAAATGTCGGAAAGTGTGGTTTTATGTATGGTAAAAACTTCACCGTATAAATCCGAATGCTACTCGTATATTAATATTTCTTCAACTTATATACCATCGTATTATATTAGATACTGCATAATCGCAAACAGACAGACAGTCGGCCCAAACATTTATTTCCTATTCAAATAATATATACATCGGAAACTTCGGTATATAAAAAGAGACGTGCTTGTATTTATTTATCCTATCATTTCAAACCATTAGTCTGTATCGTTTCATAAAAGCCATTTAAATTGACTCGGCGTTCCGAAACTTTACGACGGTATATACAATATACAGGGTTATGACGCCGTGGAACTCAGTTGCAGTATATATTATTATTAATATTTATTGTCTTGTTTTTCATTTATTTATTTCTTATGTGAGTATGCGTATACACTACCATTTGTCAACTATAGTAAAACGAATAAGAATATGTAAAATATATATATATATATAACTAACAACAATAAAAGCGACAATGCTACATCCAATCGTATATGATGTGTGTATATAATAACAACCTAATATGTTTATGTAGTATTGTGGGCACTTGTTGTATTATATGAAAACCAAAATGGAATACAATACTAACCGTTTGTACAAAACACGATATGCTCCAATCAAGTGTGATGATCATTCGGTGATGGTCCGTAATGTCCGGTGGAACAACAGAATGAACTAGACGTGTGTGATGGTGTTAGTGAGGCTATTTCATTATGATATATACTATACCTCGTATAATACGTTTATGTTATAGTCATTTAAATAGAATATAAAGGCAAAAACCCATAGGCTATATGGTATCGAGATCATCATTACGCGTGATGTCATTGAATGATGCTGGGAAAATGACGTAACTCACTGTCGCCGAATTATACTGTATTTTGTAGATTACATATTTTTTTATCTCAAAAATGTTTCCTTAGATGTTCGTATATTCGTATATTATGGTGATGGCAGCATTATTGTTATGAACAGTTCCCAACCCGTTCCTGATTTTTGAACTAGGGAGAAAAAAGGTACATATATTATGGTGATAATGTTTTATATCAAGTTATTTTGCATTCTGAACGGAACAAAGTGGCGTACTTGTACATAAAGGTACGAATATAGTTTTTACATAAAGCTTTACTCGGCTAGCACTATTTTAAAGACAATAGTAAACTCTCTCGATTTGTATCGTGAAGTAAAATGCATCAATGTAATGTAAAGAAATGTTTCGTCAAAGGTTTTGACAAAAGTTGACCATTTTGGGCGTGCACAGGTCACGTGTCACGCACCGAGTTAATTTTTGAAAAAAACCACCCTTATCTGGTTGTTTATGTTGCTAAAATGCTGCCTCATACCCCGGCACCCCCCCCCCTCCCCACCACCACCTAACTGGACCCCGGAGCTGTTACTGTGCACGCACCGTGCACAGCACACACTTCGACAGCCGGCGACTGACTACTGCCCGCAGCGCCCGTTACAGCGATTCCAATAATAAGAAGTATACGACAACAGTCGCAAAAAATGTGTGTGCGTGCTCAAGCTATATATGGTGTATACTGTGTAGATAAAATTTGTTTATAATTGAACCGCTAAAGTTTCAAACAAGTTCCGATAACAAAACGCACTTACGATGTGTTGGCGGGTGCCTGGTAGTCGCTACGTTTATATATAACGGCAGTCGATTCTTATCGCCATTGGCGCATCGTATTTTCTTCTATTGCGGTGTGCGATTTATAGTAACCATTTATATATATATATATATATATATACAACTATTATACACAGTCATATAAAGTGTTCATATAATCGATGGTTTTAATGGTCCCTGCGTATACGAGTCGGCGCTCGGCTAAGTCATTTTGTGTACACATATACCTATAAAGGTAACGCATATACCTACCGTTTATAATATACCTTTATAGTATATTGTAGGTATATCAATGGGATATGTGTTGTATTGTGTAATATTTATAGGTATCACCCCATCTATTACACTAGAGGCTAAATTATAGCATACCTACACTAGGTGTGTACCCTATATACATAGGTACTATTTGTGTATAAACCGTAAATAAGTACGAGTATAATATAAAATAATATATTTAAGAACCATTATATTTTTGTATAAAAAAAAAATACAATCGTTTTTCCAAGCGAGTCCAATAAAACAAGCACACGGGATGGAGATGTTGTATAGGTGTAGCAGTGTAGGTAGTGTAATAACCCTCTCCCCCTAATAACCGTACTTAAACTATACATAACTTCGTGTGTTCCAATAAAATAACCAAGCTATCCATATAATTATTAGTACCAACATTTAGTAAATAAAGACGCACATGATACATGATGCGGTATATTATTTGTGATGTGTTATAAGCTAATAACTATTGAAGATATTATTATTTCTTGTAATTTTCGTTCTTTCTAGAACTGAAAATGGTTTTAGTCTTCTACTTCTGTAGTTTTTTCATAATTCTATTTTTTTTATGATATATTAAGGTAAATGATGGACAATTTTGACGCGATCTGTTGTAAGGGATTCTTCATATCGGACTGCGGGCATCAATTCCATATTAGGCTTTTCATGTACATCGTGCATAAATGCATAATTTAGCATCTTAGGTAATAATAATCTAACACCAAGGCATAAAAAATAAAAATGTATATTAATTATTATGTTATGTGTGTAAAATGTACGCGAATGGGGTCGTAAAAAATAAAATCTTTCGATGGCGATTATACCAACGAATACGTTTTACTATATTGCCCCATACGACTGCGGGAAAATAGCTTTCGTCTGCTATGATGCCTAATAATATTATATTATTTATATTTACGAGCTGCGAAACATCAAAAGTTTTTTCCGTCGTTCCGTTGTTCTTACGGTCTTGTGTATAGCCAGTGCTTTACGGCCGCGTTGAAATCCAAACCGCAGAATTTATGCGCCGTCTCCAAAAATAACATTACTTTCATCTCTTTTAATGCGGTTAAAAACGCACGCACGCACACACACATTCGCGCACACGACTTGTCGTCAACAACTAATTATCTTTATATTATATACGCAGCCTGTCCCACGGAATGGGCCCCGCGTATGTGTATATTTATATTTTAACGAGCCAATTTCGAATGTAACCAGTTGATATTTAGACGCTTTGGCTATAACAGAGATTAGCTCTATACATTTAATAGTGCAATTAATTGGATAAGTTTTATTTTTACGACTGTAACGTGTATAACGTCAACATTAATCTCGGAACGAAAAAGATTACGGTTATCCTACAATAAAATATAACTATTAATTACTTTGAAACTTTATTCGAGCTTTGGTCTAGAAATAATTATAAAAATGTTTGTAAGAATATAAAAAAGAATGATATTAGCTCGTTTTATTATTACGAAATTCAATAGGTTCTTATAACTACTGGTATTAATGTTTTTAATTGAACACGTAAAGGTACTTCCGAATAAAAACCATATATAATAATTGTTTTTCTAGTTGACTGATGTATAATTAAAAACTTATTAAATTTCATGAATTTACATTTTTAATGTATTTATTCACGGTGTAATGACTGAAAAAGAAATTATAAGTACAATGATGTTTAATAATGAGGATATAATATTACTATAATAATTATATTTTTACTAATACAGCACTGTATGTCTGTATACATAAATTATGAACAAAAAATCTAGATTTTAATTATTAGGTACCCGAAGTTTATTTTTCTATATATATAGGTCCTTTTGTAGGTATAATAATCATTAATAATGTATTATACCTATTATGGCACTGATACATTATTTATAAATTCGACAAAAGAGGTTTTATTTTCTGTTTTATTCATATATAGGTAGGAATTTATACCGTTATTAATTTTTCAAAGTTTTTAATGCCATCGTGTTTTAAATAAAATAAATCGCTCTAATATTATATTGGTTGTTTGTATAGATGTTTTTAAAATATTGCTTAGATTCGCACATTTTACTTTGTATATTGTACTATACAAATTGTATATTACGAATATAAATTATAATCCATACCGTGCGTAATGTACTTAAATATTAAATGTAATATTTTTATATTATTACTGTTTTATTCAATATTGTTTTATCATAATTACCTATAATATTATGAATTTTGTTTTTTTCCTTTAGCGAATACAATATGATCATATCATACGATATACCTACACCATAAGAATATATATGATTTATTATCTATATATTCGTCCTTATAAACTGCAGACCGACCTACCACCTGCACCATATATCGATCGAGAGTCGAGACCAGTGATCGTTGAACTATTACGTGAGTAGGTAAGTGAAAAGTGATACTTAGCGTCCGTATATTTATGTATTTATATATTCAATTTATCATCGTGTTTACATTGCATATTATTATAATATTATATTGAGAAAAAAAAAACGTAAAACGTCTTTAAAATCTGTCTATTATCTTACTCGCCGTATGTGAATTTATGGGTAGGTACATAATGTAATATTATAATGCCTCTCCCCACACGTAGGTATCCCTATGGCGATTGTCTGTCGATGACAAAACTAGTTCCTTTGTCTCACAAACTGCCGGTTCTCGTATAACGTTCCGTGTTATCCCGGGCAATTATAATGACTTCCAGCGGATTATGATGCATCACGTGAAAAATAATATGCATTAGACCAGATCTCGAGTGGTACTTTCTCATGTTTCACCGACTTCCCCTTCGGGTATATATACGCTATGTAATATAAAGGTGGTGTTCACACGAGAAACAAAGCAAACCCCTATTGATTTTTATTTTTCATTTTTTTTTCCTCTCGTATAGAAGTAACATTGTTCGGGTCCTATTAAACGCTGACTTTCACACACACGCCCCCTCGAAATTGACCACACGTATACAATATAAAGGTACTTGTTACATACGTAACCGTTTTCAGGTCCTTCTCGACGAATGGGTCCCGTTTCGGTATAAGTGCGTGATATGCCCGTATTATGTTCTGTAATAAAAACGAGCGAGAAAACTTCAGAAACACACAACTCTAGCACACAGCTGGCCACATATATATAACGGCCAAACGATATAGGAAAACATAACACTAGAACTTCCTACTAGTTTTATCCATCGTCGACCATAGACTTGAGACATGAACGCGCCTTTGTTGTATCATATATTATAGTTTCCGGTATATATAGGTAGGAATAGTAATATATCATAGTTAGGTATATCCGTATATAATAAAATATATGTATAATATATTATAGGTAGTGTAAATATATATGTGTATACAGACGGGTACGCACACGAGATCGGTTCAAACCGTTCGAAACGAATTCGACAAACTTTGTTTAAGTTACTTGCGGCGTGGTGCAGAATCAATTCGAATAACTTAGGTCTCAGTTTAACCTCAAGAACGTTTCATCATAAATCTCGCTGGGAAACGTATTCTACAGCGGGCTAGTGTTTTCTGAGTAAGGGGTGGCGCATCTGTTTATTTACGTGTTTCCGCGACCGCGTGCTCGCTGCGTGTGTGTGACGCGCGCACTCGGAATTTCGTACAATATAATAATCAATTTGATTCGGCGAGCGTTGTAAAGTTTCACAGACAGAAGTATAGGTTTATTCTGGTCTTATACAAACACACACACACACACACTATACTATAACGATCGTCCGAAAGAAAAAAAAAAGTTTGGCTTCCTAATTTCTAAACCGAGTGTGCTTTGCCCCTCTCCCCGGCGACCCGCGAATCGCACACGACGACGTGCCGTTGAATACACGCTTTACGTGGGTTACTTGTAAGATTTCTTCTCGTCGCCCTTTACATTTGTCCGCCACCGCTGCCTCATTACCGCCATCCCTCCTAAACCCGTCGCGTCCTTCCCGATGGTCGCGGTGACGGGCACACTGCGTGGGGCTTCTGCTGACGTCCGCACATGCACAACTATATATACGTGAGGGGGTAAATGACCCTGGGCTCTCATTATTATATGTATTATTGGGTTAACGATACACACGAGCAGGAGCCCCCGTATATATATATATATAGTTGCTGAGCCCCAGCTGTAAATTGAATCAAAGCCCCGGGAACCCATATGGCGCGCAGGAAATTAATATTGTTCGTGGAAAAAAAATATAATTTATATATATGAATACCTATATACACCGGTCGCGAGTGAATTGTGTTATAATAAAGGACAAGAGTTTTTTTTTCGACTCTGCTATACATATTATTATTATAAAATGACGTATATACATCACCGCACATATAGCGTACAGTGTATATATATTGTATGCTCGCGAGTGCGTGTGTGTATAGATTCTAATTATTTGAACGTGATTTATCTCTATTAGGCTGACGGTGGGAGTCCTGCCGACGACGAGGAGAGACCTCTAAATGATTGACGAGACGATTTTCATCACAGCTATTATACTATTATATTGTACACCGGCTACACTTACCACCTTGACTAATCCATTGTTTCATTAAAAATATAATAATAACAGTAATAACGAAACAGATATAAATTTAAACGGAATACCTTATGTGAGACGCATATACCATGGTAGGTAAAACATTGCATACTTCCGATTTGTGCGCCTCGTAGAAAAACAATAGGCACCCCGTCCTTATTATTAGTGTCATTGTGATCTGCTGTGGGTCATGTCGTTTCGAACATGGACGACAAACACGAGCCGCGCGATACATTGATACCATCGTATAGGTACATATAGGTAGGTTGGCTCATAGGTGTGTGTGTGTGCATGTGTACATTTTTATTCTGTGCACCTGAGAAACCACCCAGTCATTTTCCAAGCATTTCCGCCCGAAAATGTTTACATAATATTTTTACGAGCTCGCGAGAAAGGCAAATATTTACCAGGCAACCCAAACACCATTTTTTTACAAGCCCATTATCCATTTGGCTTTTTTCTTTCTTTCTTATTTTTTTCGGTGTGTATGTGTGTGTGTGTGTGTGCGCGCATTCACGTTTTCTTTCTTTAGTATATAAAAATTAAAATATTCTAGCAGCACTCGGTTTTATCGTTTTATGTATACATGGCGCGCACATAAAGGTTTCTGAGGTGGTTTTTTTTTCTAGTGTTTTTCAGAACATTCATTATTTAAAAGGTTTTTGTACCAACCTAAACGGACCGATTTCGGGAGTGTAAAAGTTCTATACATACTTGCACAATAGTTTTGACTTAGCGTTAAACGAAAGTGATGGACGATACTCTTGATGTACGAAAACATATTCTGTATACATGTATGGGAAAAACGTGAGTTCAATTGAAACACATCGTACATCCATTATTTATAGAAGTAACTAATATAGTTAGAATAACCTTAGTGTTCGCGTTCTATCTGATGGTCATAAGCAATTTTCATCTTCATGAAAGTTGTCTGTCCAAAAATATGTGCTTCGATAAAGTTTTTATTATTATTAATTTCATTTTTATACCCATTTGTGTTTTAATTTTAGTAGATACAAATTACTTATTCCATGAATAAAATCTGAAAAAGTATCGCGTACCTAAAAATTAATCAAATGTACAAGTGTGTCGTATTCAAGAATAATATAGAAAGTTAAATTCTTATTTTGACTATAAAATCATTAAATTAATTTTACGATACCTACAAACCTACATACTTATCTATGTTTTGAACAAATAATTAACATTCATTGTATGAAAATTCGTGTTAATAAAATGATACAAAAAGTGTACATAATATTTTTACCTCTTTGTTACTATTTCACAATACTATAATTATTCTACTACACACGTGAACATGTAATTTAAACAAAAAGTTATTCTCGCCAACAAATGTTTAGTACAAATAAGATAATTAATTATAAATTATCGTTATGGTACATATTTATGTTGCGGGCTTTTATTTAAATGACAAAAAAGTTATTACATTCGAAAAAAAAATCTGACAACATTTTTGGATTCCCTCATTAATAATTAATTTTAATCGTTATATCGTTAGAGTGCATTTACTATAACCTAAATTGTAATAATTGTCAACTGTATATTATCTCAGTAAATTATACAGTTCAAACAAATGTTAAAAACTGGTTAATAACACATTTTAAATGAAAGATAGTATTTTTTAGTATGTACTCGTATACAGTATATAATATTTTGACATTTCGTTTTAAATTTTAATATTTCTCTTATATGTATTTTTGTTGGCCTATTGCTGTTAACCTTTTACAGTATTTATGAACATGTTATTCTAAAATGTAATATCTAATTACAGTATAACACAATTTACTTGTTTACCTATACGTATAAAATACATTTAAACTGATATTAAAAGAAATGTAGGTACCAATAAAATAAATAACTTCATACATAATGAGTACTAAATTCAGATTTACACTTGTACTTAATTTCATAATCAATTGTATCATTTAAAATAGTTGAACCGTACAAAAGAATTGACATCCTGTAATTTAAAATGTATTACTATTTATATTATACCTATTATGATCGTTCAAAAGTAATAACAATATAATGCACCTACATATTTTGTATTACCCGATTGAAATCTGCTAAAAGAATCATTGAAGTTTTCTATTCGTTTATTCTTATAAAAATTTCTAGCCAGGCATAAATTAACGTTAGGAAATGTGTGTTCTAAAAAAAAATCATGATTTCTTCTCTCTAAAATTATTAACCAAGTACTTACTTAATACTTCCTTGATATTTTATACTTGCATTTTTCATTTGTTGATTTATTAGATATTTTATAAATTAAAAAAATGTTACAAATATGAAATAATTAATTAATGATCTATAACTATAATTATTTATTTTTATTAATTGATCTGACAATAGCGTGAGTTAAAAAAAACTTTAAGTAACATTTTACTTATACACATAATATATTTAATCTTTATTTTAAGTTTAACTATTATTATTATTGCACACGCAATTCTTATGTAACCATATAATCATTCAAATAAATAAGTACTTCAATCGAAAAATTATTATACATTGAAACTTTTAACCATTATAATTATAATATTTTTAAAAATAGAAATAATTTGCATTGTAATTTCATTTAATATACTACTGTAAGTTATTTGATTAGCTAAATTGTTATCCTATTTATTATTACGTAAAAATGTCGGTTAATAATTTAGTCATTATAAATTATATTTATAAGGAAATAGTAAAAAAACAATTTTAATTGCCTATCAAGTGTTCAATGTAACTTTATACATTTTAATTTATTTTTAATTTAACAGTTTATGATTTTCAACCAAAACATCGTTAACTAATATTTTAGCTATTTTTTGTTAGGTTAGG